ATGTAGAAGATGCTGTGATAAAGAAGCAGTTCGAAAACAAGAGATCTCAGATGCCATGGTACTCATGCAACTCCATCGTCAGCAAGGCATCAGCAAAGTTCATCAAGAAGTGTTGGCAATTTAAGCAGCAGACAAAGGTTGTCGTGTTGAACCAAGAGGGTAAGGTGGTGAACATGGACGCAATGACGATGATACGCCTTTGGGGATCAGAAGCCCTGCCGTTCACGCAGGAGAGGGGCTGCAAGCTCTGGGACGGGCACAGGAACAACTGGCTCAAGCTCGTGGTGAACAACACGGTCTTCCAATCTGTCGAACAAAGCGTGAGTTACAAATGCAGTATGGTTTGGATTATGTGGGCCATATTTTTATTATCCATCCCTAGTTGGATGGACCTTCTTCCTACCAGACTTTTGATCAGTGCCTTACAAATCTAGACATATCACTCAAATTTATATCTTGTTCAGTTTACATTGAAGTTATAACAATCAAAGTCTAGTTGGAGATCTTCCTCCAAATAGGGACGAAGGAAGACACAGCCTCTGTTCTAATTTCGTTCGACAAGATTATTAAGTAGTGAAGTATTTAACACGCTCGGCCAAGCACAAACTCGCACACTATAGTCAAAAGAATTTCACACATGAATCATACGCAAGATAGATTATTGCAGACTTCGTGTAAAAATTACCCAATCTAAAATTTTAAATACATCTAATGCCACACGTATCGAATTCACACAAGAATCATATGCAAGACAGATTAAGAATTTCCTGAATTTATCGATTTGTAATCTTGTTCTTTCGACATGTCCTGTGTCTTGACTGTTGGCCAGTTTGACAGCAAGGAGCTCATATTCTTGTACGGCTCGGCTGAAGACTCCGAGAAGGTCACAGAGATTGAAAACTACCTGAGCGAGATCAAAAGCTGCCTCTCCTTCAGCTTCAAGTTCTTCAACGTCAACACCGAGAGAAAGCTATTCCATTCCCGCCTTGAGAACTGCATATCCTTCAAGAAGCAGGTGAGTACGGAGATGTCCGATCCACTGACGCTGGAGCAGCTCAAGGTCTACACGAGCTATAAGAAGAAAAGCGGGTTGGCCATCATCATGGAGGGGTCGAGCGTGATCATCAACACTAGTCTCACGAGTCTCCTGACAGTGCTGTCGCAGCACAAGGAGTGGATCAAGGAGGGGACTAACAAACAGGATTTTTAAACCCAGTGCCAAGCGTACTACGAGAAGGTTGTCAAGCCAAAATGCCTCAAATTCAAGATCCCCAACATGGTGGGCAACATGCCGGAGCGCCTCAGGTGCCCCAACGCCAATTGCACTCTGAACATGGAGACCGTCACCACCTTCAAGTGCTGCCACGGTAAGCACTGACCAGCCAATGAGGCCACCGAGCCCAACGCCTTCGTTTGGCGCTCCAGAATAAACACGGACTGCTCAGCTCAGTCGCGTTTTCACGTCGTTTCTTTCCTTTCCAGTTTGATATCGCTTGCCATTGTGTGTGGTTGGAGTATGTAACAAGATTGTGCGTGAGCTGTGCACAACTCGATGTACCGCGCATTCGGACACTGTGTGCAATGAATAAAAGTTTTTTTATCATCTGTAACAGGGTTCTACGTGTATGTAACATGCAGAACTTGATGTACTCTGCATGCAGACACTGTGTTACGAATAAAAGTTTGAGTTAATACTACGGAAAACTTCAAACTAATAAATCTATGACAAATTTATCCGAAATTAATTTTTTAATCACAAAAAACCTCAAACTGGTACATATGTGATAAATTTACCCTAAACTAATTTTTTGACCACCAAAAATCCCTAACTGGTAAATTTGTGACAAATTTATCATCCGTTATTTTTCATTAAATTTTATTAATACCATGAAAAATCACAAATTGGTACATGTGACAAACGAAGGGTAAAACCCCAAATTGGTGCACCCATTAATAGTCACGTGTCATCAAACTCAACAATTTAACCAAAAAAAATATAATGGAAACTAACTGAGGGTAAATTTGTCACAAGTATACTAATTTGGGGTTTTTTATGATAAAATTAGTTTTAGATAAATTTGTCACAAGTATATCAATTTATGATTTTTTACGATATTAACGCTAAAAGTTTTCATGATCTTATGAAGGTTCATTAGTTACTTTCTTGGGGCGTACAAAACAAGACTTTTCATGTTTTTTCCCAAAGGCAACCGCAACACCCAATTCAGAGAGCTCTAGCGACTCCAGTCCCAAATTGGCCGCACCTGGTGCATTAGGCCCCGCAAACCTGATCGGCTGGATCATGGGGCTAATTCCCAAAAAAACACAAATTTTTGGTCGAGTGATAATTGTAGTCTTAACTTTTTTTTGTTTCATAAAAAATCATCAACTTTTACCCTTATCCCAAATCTAACCCCTCATTGACTCTCTGTCTAAAGTCATTCTTGTTTGAGAAAAAAGGTTATAGTCATGAGCTTGGCGGATCTCGTCCATGGTGTCTCTCAACGAGCAGTGGTCTTCAACTTCAAATTACGACAAAATAGTGGAGTCTGGATGGAGAGATTTAATCTGAAGACCTTTTGACTTGCCATTGAAGTGAAGAAAACAGTGAACTATTTCGCCGTCATTCTTCAAGCTGTGGCTCGAAAAAGAAGATAATAAATAGTGCTTTAAATCCCGTCAGCAAATCATGTGAATTTATTTCTGAGGTATAATAGACAAGTTAGATAATCAATGGTTTTAAGTCAAGGGGAGCCAAATTTGAGATTTAAGTGAAAGTTTGCGATTTTTTACGAGACAAAAAAAATTTGATGCTAAAATTGTCACTCGACCTAAAATTGATGTCTTTTTTTTTGTTTTGGAATTAGGCCATAAATCATGTGGTGGCACCCTAAAACCCACGTGACCCGACGAATCGCCTACACTCGACCTATATGTTCCGTTGGTGCAGCCAATAATTTACCATGTGAGAGAGGACTATTAGAGTGTGAGAGATCTGTGCTCTCTCTAGTCTCTAGTATCTACAGGAAGAGTGTCGAACCCTACTAAATAGAAGTACTTTATTGAGTTTACGTGTATTGATTATATTGATTCACCGCTTATCCTCTCGTTAGACTTTAGTGTGTGATAATGTGTCATTTTATTACCACATCCTATTGAGAACTTACTACTCGAGTCCCAAAGGAAATTCTCAGCTCTCTCGTCCGTTTGACGAAAAATAATAAATTTGAAAATTATTATTCAAAAAATAATTACTTATATCATTTAAAAAAATTAATCAATTAAAAATATATTCATCATCAATAATAATTTGTTTCTAACTATGTTCATGAACGATGAAAAAAATTTCTATTAAATTATTTTTGTAAACGATAGAAATGATTATTTTTCAAAAAAAAATTTTCAAATTATTTATTTTTCGAAAAACAAATGCATCAATTTCAGCCTTCACAATGTACGGTATTTCAATAAACATACTTGGAGTCGGTCCCAATCTGGCAAAGCTGGGACAGACTCACTTAGCAAACAAAACATTCTGACAGCGAGGTAGGTTCCAACCCCGTCCAATAAGTCACGGAGCTTCCAAAAGATTGTGAGACTCCAATAACAATATGAAAAAAAATTCTTTATTCGGATGAATGCAGAAAATTCTTTGAGCAACTAAGCAAACGTCAAAATTCTACATACAAGTCGGATTTTGACTTCGTCCCGTCTTCAAATCTTCATTTGGTGAAAACTCATATGGCTCCTGAGATGGCACGAGCGCTTCAAAACCCTAGCCTCTTCTTCTCCTCCACTTTCATCCTCAGATTTTCCTCAGTCGGAATCTTGCCGCCGGCTCGGGACGTCATACACAACCAGGCCATTAACTCATCCTATGAACAGTAATAGGCAAAGGAAAGGGATTAGAAAAAAGAGGAAAAAGAAGAGTGTCCTGTCAAACAATAATCCTCTTTCTCCTGTCAAGCATCTCATTTGCAATCCTATGGGCTAAAAAATGGTAGACGAGATCATCACAGACTTCAATCCCTACCAGCCTCATAACTTCTTAGAGAAAGCGTAGTCAGCTAGTAGAAAAAGCTTAGCATGCGAAACCATCATTTAGCTGTCGGACATAGTTGATGATTTAGCTATTAAACGACCCACAAGCCCACCGACAAAACCAATAGCGAAATACTAAGCATGGAGCCTTGATATAATTAGATTGATCAGTCAATAAGTATGACAATTCATCCATGCCTTTCATAGGCTTCTATACTCTGTTGATATGAGCCACTTCCATAAAATGAAAATTCTGAAGGTTCACAGACTCGTCTCCTTAAATATGATGTTCTTTATGTTGACCGACCTTTTCCTCGAAGAAGTTGAGACTTTATGAAATTCACCAATATCACGCACAAACATTTCTCATTCTATAAAGCTCAAGATTCATCACGTGCAATCATTTCTCGTTCTATACCCCCTGTTGCCATGATTAAAAAAAATCACCTTCATGGTTGACCTTCAACAAATTAAATTAATCTTGGGAAATGTCAGTCTCGCTCGTTTATAAATTATCAAAATAACCATTCTATAACAAGATACATTTGTGTTATAGAAACCCACGTAGCACAACTATTCAACACGCTAAGTGCAATTGGAAAATCAATTGTCGGTTAATACTATGCCTGCCATAGAATGGATGAAACAAGACGGGAAACGACAGAAGCGTAGCTAAATTCCAGAGTGGATTCAACATTGTCATGATGGATGCCTTCAAAACTCATAAAATTCCTGAGGAAGTTCCTCTGACAATTTATGAAAAATGAAAAGAAAAAGAGGAAAAAAAGGAAGCACCCAGGGAAATTCGTGAAGGATGAATGAGTTAAGTTATTACCTCAAGAAAATCATGGTTGGAGATGTATTGACTTTCAACGAGACATTTGACTCCACCAATGTTCACAGCAATAGGATTTCTTCCGGATGACTTATCTCTTTGCATTCCTGCACATTAAGTTCCACATACCACAAACCTCCAGTAAGGATCCCAGATTTGGGTATTGATGCATTGGATGCATGCTGTCTCCTACTATAGTCCCATCTGCTGTCTCCAAGCACGAAAAAACATGTGGCGCCACTCCGCCACACCTTGATCTCACCCATAGTAGATCAAAACATTAAAATCTCTCTCTCTCTCTCTCTCTCTCTCTCTCTCTCTCTCTCTCTCTCTCTCTTCCACCTTCTGTACAGATATAGAGCCCCCCATGCTTCTCCACTGCCTGAGCCACTGCAGCCCCCAACCCCACCATTGACATCCGCCGCCCTGCTGTTGCTGCGCTCCTTAAGACAAGTTCTCTCAATTGGTCTTTGTCCCTGCAGCCCATGTCCCTCTATATGCCCCCATCCCTCTTTCTTAATCTCTCTCTATTTGAGCTCGATGCCGCCGTCGAGCTCGCTGCCGATGGCAGCACTCGACACGGCATCGAGTTAAGCCTCGTCCACCGATGTGGAGCCATGGACACCGAGCTAAGCATTGGCAATGGACAGAGCCTAAGCCTCGAGCTAAGCCTTGGCCATGGACACCGGCATCGAGCTAAGTTGCCTCTGTTTTTTTCTGTTTGAGCTAGGTGTGAGCTACGCCTCAGCCCTGGAAGCCGAGCCTCCAGATCTGGAGGCACACCTCTAGATCTTGCGGCAGCGGCAACTTGACCATGGCTGCGAGGTTTGACAGCGAGGTCGAGCGACGTTTGTAAGCGCGAAAATCAAAAAATGAAAGACAGATGAGGGCAAGAACAAATGAGGGGGTGACTGGGGAAAAAGACGGAGCAGTGACAGCAGCTGGATGGCGGCGATGTGTCCCGAGATGTGGCAGTAGCCGGTTCTGAGTGTGGCATTGGCAACTTCAGCAGTGGTGACAGCAGGCAGCAGTGTGGCGGTTGGGCATGGAAGCAGTTGAGGGGGTAAAGGAGGAGAAAGAGGGAAGAGAGAAAACTAGGATTTTGTAGGTTTTAGATTGGATGTGGCGAGGTCTAGAATTGAGTGGACACATATCACAATCTCAAAATGGAGACAGCAGATGGATTCACAACAGGCGACAGCATCCGGATGCGGAACATGTGCATTCAGAACATAACTTAGACAGCATATATGAAATAGAACAGATGAAAAGAGAGATTTTGAGTTGTACCAGTTATGCAAGCTACATAATAACCAGTTCCTCCAAGTCCTTCTTCCCACTTTCCGAGACGCAAGCGCAGGAAGAATCCATCAAGGTGCACCGGGGATGTCCGGGCACTCATCCACCTAAAATTTAAAGGACAGAGAAAGAGATTCATCTAAGACCAACAAAGTCTCGATGAATATCCGACTGTTGTGAATAACAGTCCACACAGAATGCCACAAAAAGTTCCCTTTAAAAGCACTGGAAAAACTCCCACAAATAACCGTTGATCCATTCTCTAATTAAGAAAATTTGTCCAATTCTTTCATTTTCCTTGTGTTGCCTCTCTCTCTCTCTCCCCCCAACCCCACAAAAGCTCACGGTCTTCATCTTGAAGCTGTGACTATGGTCATCTTCATCGTTCCACTTCAGAGAATTAAAATAGACATCCCAAATAGAAGGAATGATGTCAGACACTAAGCACATACATGTTTCTCTCTACTATAACCGCAACATTATATGCTGCAAACTACAAGGAATGATAATAGCAATTAGGTTGATTGCAATTCTGTTCAAGTTTCACCAATATTTGACAATAAAAACAAAACATGAGCTGGCAAACCATCCATGCAGTCGGTTGTTTCGTTGGCAAATTTCACACCAAAGAGATCGTTTTTTTGTTGTGCCCCCTTATGTTTACATAAATTTTGACATGGCATACGGAATACTTGATCTATCTATCATGTAGTTTTCACAAAACCATAGTTTTGATTTAACTCTTAACTCTGACGGACATTCTGGGTGTCTTGGAAAATGTGATTTACCTGCAAAAGAGGTTTCACCAAAACCAAGAAACCGTAGCCAACAGAAATCAACATGCCTGATGATTGAAGACAAACTAATATTTTGCCAACAGTATCATTCAAAGAGATTATGAAGTAAAAAGTTTTACTTACTTGAGGATGCTGGTCCGAGACAGTTGAAGCATCTTTATTGAGTCAAAGATTGCTTTAGGCACATCTGATATATGCCATTCACCGAAATTTCCTGTTGTTGTGATCACATTATCTTTCAGCTGATTTTGAAAAGGGCTCAAAGCACTGCATTTCCTAATCCAGCTTGGGATGGGAATATCTTTGCCAGAGGTTGATAGTTCCTTCAATTTCAAGTTTCCATTAGAACTATCTATAAGGTTACTCTTTTGGTACATTTGTTTATTCTGAAGCTGTGCTATATCAGAACAGCGGTTATTAACAACATATATACAATCCTCCGGCGGCATCAATTTTGAAACAACATTTGGACATGTAACAGCCCAATGATTGAGCTGATAACATCTAATGCATAGAGGAGGCATTTCCTCCACTACTTGATATGATTTGGCAGTCCTTAGGAGGTCTTCCAGCTCAGCTTCTGCTATCTCTGAGCAATTTCGGAGACCATGACCTTTTATTCCACAAAAGAGACAAGTTGCACTACACCCAGCACCCACATCTAGTGGATTTGTTGGGATAATGTGCTTAAGGGCATCCAATCTTCGAGCAAACAATGAAGCCATTTCCTCGGAACTTTTGAGTCTCTGAGAAGATGAAATACAGTTCACTTTGTGTATCATATGGTGATCATGACTATTCTGGAGCTTTCTGAAACCAAAGGAAGCTTCACTACCAGCAGCACAATCTTGTGGTTCTTTTCCAACACCATTAGATGGTTCTTCACTGTTACAATCCTTGACCTCTAGATTTGTTGGAGCTGGGTGACAACCAAAAGATTGCTTAGACTGAGCTGTAATTCTTATGAGATTCCCCGAATCCTCGATTGTTCCACCCATACTCTGGACACAGAGATCCTGCTTTTGTATAGAGCAAGAGGTCCTTGATGAAAAACGAGTTATCCACAAGCTTCCTAGAGGATCATTTCTGCTGCCAAGATTACTAATCTTCTCTTCTGAAGAAGAAGAATGATCCTTACCAGCTTTTATTGAGTTTATTTCCCCCAAAGAAGAGTTGGATGAATTTTTTGAGTTCTTATAACTTCCGTTATCCAAGTTGTCGAGATTCTTATTCTTTGTGGAGTGATTTTCACAATTCTCCTGAGAGACAGCAAATCTTGCATCTAAAATCCGAGTAATATTTGGACCACCTGCTCCAATTTCAGGAGTAGACTCATCCATCATCCTGCATTGCAGCAGCAGCTTCTTGCTTGGGTTGTCATTCTCTGCTAGACATGCTAATGGATGCACATCTTTAGCACATATCTTGTTATCTGGCTCAATTTTTGTAGATCCTTCTCCCGCTTGACTAGGAAGCAGAAGTGTTCTCGATTCTTGAGCAGTTTTATTCGGACAGTAGATTGATTGAAAAATGGACTTAAAACCCATATTCCCACAATTACCATCCAGGTTTTGGCCGCCAGCTACAAATGAATCGTCCGGGTGCTCATTTCCAGAACTAGGACCAGTGAGAGCAAGTGAGAGAGAGCCTGCCACATCTTGATTTGTTTTTGACAGGCCCTTCACCATGTTTGATATCCAATTCATGAAGGAGCTGTCTTGTCCAGCAAAAGAGCTTGATGCACTTTGGTTTTGACCATACCTAGCTCGTTTATTTCCATCAATCAGATGCGCTTCAACGCTCCCTCTCTTTCTTCCAACTGAAAATAAGCCTGCACTGTTACAGCTTTCAACACTCTCATGGCTGTTGTCATCCTCTTTTAGTAATCGTCCACTAGCATCTCCATCAGATAATGCCTTTTCTTTACCTTTCCTACGACTTCCACAGATTCTTCTGTTACTAGAAACAGGTTTGTCTTTGTGTTGGATATCAGCATCATGCATAGAGATGCTTTTGACTTCAGAGGAAGATTCCGAGGCTACAGCATCAGCTGCTGCATGGCCGATGTTCTCACTATTAAGAGTTCTTATGTCACTCTCAGCTGTTGATTCTAGTTTCTCCAATAATGGAAGACTTGGGTTACTGGTTTTCTTGCTTTCCTCTCTTAAAAGTGAAGCTAGTTTGTCATCCTCTCCGCCTGGAGAGAAAGCTGGAGTAGCAGAAGCTCTCTGTTCATTCAGTGGGAGAACTTCTGACACCATTGTAACTCCCATTGCCAATTGCTCATAGTTCATAGCAACATCTTGTCCTCCAAAGGCAGGATCTCCAGGAGAAACTTCATTATCTGGAGAATTTCCATTTTTACCACTAACCTGACCTGCCAAGGTAGATTCAGTAGGCATGAGATGTGAAATATGAAAAACCAAATGCAAGCTTCTGTTGGAAGAAAGATTTTCACTGATCCAAAAGGTAAAGTACTTATCCCACAGTTACTTGTGTTAGAGAATAATGTCATTATTGCTTCATAAAGCGAAAGAAACACACAAAAGAGAAAAATTTTGGTAATTCACTAATTCAAAATCACATAACTCACTTAAATTACATAGAAAATCAGCATGTGAGGTCGTTAGTTGACTATGGCATCACATACCGGGGACATTTGAAAAGACATTTTCCTTGCTCATTGTTATTTCAGCCCTTTGCCCAACGAAGCCACAACAATCCTCTGGCTCGCCATATCTTGAGCCTCTGGTTTCAAGATTTCTGTGTGAGACAGGCGCATCAGCCTTGGCATTCACATCAACCATTGGATCAACATTTTCTGAAAGCAAAGATTGTTTCAACTAAATGCCTGATATGAAGCATCAACTTGAGCGAACTTAAATTTTAATTGGTCAGTCTAACTGTAAATAAGATTACCCTTCTATAAGTTGACACATTACCTGATGCATATTTCGACCCTGCACCCCATATAGGGGAGGGTTTCCTTTCTGTGAAGCTGCAGTCGGCACATTTTAAACTTAACCCTCCGTGTGGAGACCAAACCAGCTCGGATAAGGGATTTGCAGCCACAAATGTCATGCACCCACTTGATCCTGCATTTGCACCTGCACTTGGATCATCATTTGATGTTCTCTGATTGCACTGACTTGAATAGTCCAAAGCAAGTCCTAACTCGGTCACAGGTTCTATCTTTTGCTCGTCCAAATTCATCTTTTGCTCGATAATCCTCTAAATTGATGCTAAAACCATACAACTGAGATCCTTCTCTTTCTTCATGCTACATGTTTCTATTTCATATCCCAAGGCATGACGACTGTGTTGTTTAATCAGTAGCCACTTTAGATATATGAAGTTACCTGGGAAAGTATACAAAGGCAGGAGCAATGTTATATTACTTGCACAGCAAGTAGTTCAGACATGAATCCGTGTAAAATAAAGGAAATACTCAATTTATAATGACATATCACATCAATACGGCGCATCTAAATCTTTCAGAGCACCTGGTATTACAAAGGGATTCAAATATTTGACACTGCTAAAGCAGGCAAAGTTTAGGTTTTTTTTAATTTTTTATATAACAAAATCAATCCTCCCATTTGAATAGTGCAATACCAGCTGGTTTCCTTAGTTCCAACACGTGTTGGAAATGGAAGCTTCAGTTTCGTGTTCTTATGCAGTGTAGCTGTTTCACATGATAACATCACAAGATTTTGAACATGGTCATTAAGATTCTCAATTTTATTCAGCTGACAATAAGAGCTATACAGTTCAATCTCAAGGCCCAGAAACGGAGCATTAAATTCCTCGCAACTCTCCGAGTTTTGGCCTACTATATTATAAACTCTTAACTAGTTCTTAGTGCCAAGATGCCTTAATAAAGACACCAGGTACTGGCATGAAGGACCTCAAGACTGCATATCGTGTTTGACCACGGAGCAAAAGACCTCTAAGACTGCATATTTTTTTCTTTCTGCCCCAGAACTAAAAGCCAGCTAATAGTATTCCTCAGCATGGCCACCAGACAACTTAGTTCGGAGTGTGGCAACCTGTAGCACACGGTTTCATTAAATCAGTTCCGGCGCAAATACACCGCTTAACGCCTCGGTCATCTTGAGGGTGGTCGACCCTGCCGTGCCCGCTCTCGCACATAATAATCCACCGCAACTCTTCCACCAGACACAGGGACTCTTCTCAAGCTTGTTTCTTTCGTTTCAAGAGTTAACTATACCAAGTAACTTACAAAATCCTTACACGGTCCTCCCACCAACAACGCCGAGCAGTATTCAACAGCCTCTACATATTGTCTTCGTCGCAAGGGGAACCGTAGGTCCAACCGTATTGGGCTACCGAATCACTCCTAAAGCCCGCAATCAATCACCAATGCCCAAATTTAACAAAACATATGCGTCGCCCCGACTTCAAGCCATATCTCATACTACATATTCCGCTGAGCTCCGTAACACCACCCCCCCCCCCCCCCAATCGAACTCCAACATCGCCGGCACACCTAGACCCGTACACCCTACCCTAACCGGACACATCGAACCGGAACAGCAATCAAATCACGGCACGACTCAACGCAGCGCCATTGGAACTCTCGAAACTCACGCGGCGCGCGCGCGCGAAAAAGCCACAGAAAAAAAGGAAACACGGAACAACTCGATCCCCCCCCCCCCCCCGCCGCTCTTCCCCGGCCCCCCCACCACGCGAGACGGAGGAACGGGAAAGCAAAGACGGCCGCGCCGCCGTACAATGCGAGGTTCCGGCGGGCGATCCCCGCCGCGATCGCCGCGGGGGGGTAAATCCTTACCTCCTCGGAACCGCCGCCGCCCACTCCCTCGAGGCTCCTCCGCCGCAGCTCCCGGTCGGCCGGTCACGGAGAGAAAACCGCAGTGAAGAGAGAGAAAGTAGAGAGAGAGAGAGAGAGAGAGAGAGAGAGCAGTGAGAGGGAGTGGGATGGAACAAGACGCCTCGGTGGTTATTGCCATGCGTCCGGCGTGCACAGTTACAAAGGAGCTCTCCCCTCTCTCTCTCTCTCTCTCTCTCTCTTCTTTCTCTCTCTAGCAATTCCAGAGATTCTGGACTGTGAGGCACAGGGGGTGCCACGTGGAGGTGGCTGACGCCACTAACCCGGGCCCCCCCCCCCCCCCCCCCCCGCTTTTTTTTTACTCCGTAATTTTTTTAATCGGTTTTTCCGCTCGTTTTTTTGTGTGTGTATGTTTTTATTATTAGTATACGAATAAAAAAATTGAGGAGGGTGATTAAGTGGATAATTAATGACGATTAAGACAGGGGTCTGATTAGCGGTACGTGCCGCCACCACCGCCTTTGCTTTTCGCGTCGTGACCTTCGTTAATTTAATCTGCGTGTGGCTCGGCAACGTGCGTGTACCATCTTTCTAAACATGATTAATTATTGCATGCATCCCCGTTAGACACTGTCCAAAAGAAAAGCACTTTTGCTTTCGACTTTCCAAGCCCCCGACGAAGGATTTGCTTGTTTCGCAGAAAAATATTTTTCAAGGAAAATATATTCCTCATTTTTTTACGTTTGGCTAGTTTAGAAAAATGAGCTAATGGAAAAGGTTTTCCTATCAAAGTTTTAAATTAAAGAAAAATGATTTCCCATTTGAAAGAATCGAAAAACGTTTTCCAAAATATGACTAGATATCGGTATTTGGATCCGAAACTCTACGCTTGGACACAGAAACTTCAACGTTAATTCCTGAGTCCTGGCATTTAAGATCGGGTCTCCAGCGGTCGGGCCAGGATCCATCGAAACCAGGACCTCGACGCCCACGCCCGGGGCCATCAATGTAACATCCTGAATTTTGACCCGTTACCGGGACCAATGAAGTGTATGTTAATGCTCGTTTGATTTTAGTAAGTCGCGCTCTAAACACAATTTTGGACTTCGGTATCGACGGGCAATTTTGGGCGAAAATCTATATAAAGTTAGGTGCGGAATTGTATGATTTGGTAGTAGAAATTTTATGGCGGGTCTTGGGATTTAATTCGGGCATAAATTATTAAAAATTAGAAAATAACAGTGACTGTGATCTATTGTTCATGGGCTCTTGATGGGCCGATCGGGACGCAAGTTGGGTTTTTAGAACTGGTATTTTATGGCGAGAAAGTTCCGTGAAGGATCGGAATTAATCCGACGCCGTTTGGTGGGAGAAAAATGAGAATTTACGGTTTTACCCCTCAAAATTTCCGGACTGATTTTCGAGGGCTTAAAGAATGATTTTTTTAAGGATCCGACACCATATTATGCTGGCCATGCATATATAGGACCGGTATGGACAAAAATTGGAATTTCGACCCGGGATTGGAAAATTACGAAAATGCCCCTAGGCCATTTTTAATTAATTCCGAAAATTGGACAAATTTGGGGGATTAACCAAGGTTAAATGGGGCTAAACCAGGTCTAGTCAGCCTTGGGTTAGAGATAATTGACCATCCAACCCCTAAATTATTGGATAAGAGCCATTTCTAGCCTTAGGATCAAGGGCAAAAGTGTCAAATGGCCTAGGATCTTGACACTTGGATTCCACTAAATCAATTTTGACCCATATTTGACCTCTCTCTCTTCTTCCCATTGTGATCAGCCGAGACCCCCCCCCCCCCATTTCCCCCTCTTCCTCGCCGTTCTTCCCTTTGGCGTCATCACCGCCGGGAGGCCACCCACGCCGGACCGCCGTGCCGAAGCCGTCACTGCAGAACCAGCCACCGCCTCAGCCACCGTTGACCTCTCTCTCCCTTGGACAGCCACCCACAGCAGCCGTTCCAGCCCCAAGCTGAGAGGGCCAGTAGCAAACCGCCACCGCCGGTGCCGCCGTGACCGCCGGCTTGCCCCGGAGCGCCGCCGTCGATTCTCACCGCGTGTCGATAATCGACCGCCCGTTCCCGTCGTCTCGAATCAACATTAGGCGAGTATAAACTCCTAAACCCTTAATTAGTTTAATTGTGCATTTTAGAGGGTAATTTAGGGGTTCATTAATCTTAATTAGGGTCTAATTACGTCTAATGTTGTGTGGGATGATAAGGAGACCTAATTAATGCTTAATGAAGTGGATTAGAGTTGGTTTAGGGCCTAATTGGGGTCCCGCCTGCAGTCTGTTCACCAAGATCCGAAATTGCCTAAATTTGCCTAAGTGTTGTACTAGTTGGATTCATTGATTAAGGCTTGGATTTAGGCATTTTTAGGGGTTAATTAGGCTTAGTTAAGGCTTAATTAGGTGTATTTGGTTGTTGGGTGATTAACGATTGTGATTAGGGCTCAATGATGTGGTTTAAGTGTGACTTGCATGAAAACCATTCTAGTTCTGTCCAGAACTGGTTTTTTGTTCCCAGAATCAGTTTTGGACCAGAAACCCGTTTGGTAACGCAATTTCATTTTTCTATTTGGGACAAGTTTGCTTCCAAAGCGGTTAAACCAGAAATGAGAACCAAAAAAAGTTGGTTTTTCATTTCGGAACAAAAGTGAGAACCATTTCTGAGGAATTCATTTTCTTCAACACACATATTCATATGGAAGTCACGATCTTTGAGGTGAGGAAAAAAAAGCAAAAAATCAAAAATTTCAAAACTTAACAGAATGGTTTAGAATCTGTGGCTACCCACTTTCAGTGAAATTTAAATTTTTTTAGGTATCGAAAAACATAATAAATAATAAATAAAAATAAAAAATTTCAAAATTTCACAAAATGGCTTAGAAAACCTATGGCCACCCACTTTGAGCAAAATTTAATCTTTTTAGTTGCCAAAAAAAAAATAATAATAATAAATTCTAAAATTTGAAAACTTCACAGAATATCTTAGAATACCTGTGGCCACCCAATTTGAGCGAAATTTTATTTTTTTAGGTGCCGAAAAAAATAAAAAAAAAAAGCAAAAAATCAAAAATTTCAAAACTTCACAGAATGACTTAAAATACTTGTGGCCATCCACTTTGAGTGAAATTTAAATTTTTAGGTGCCGAAAAAAATAAAAAAATAAAAATTTCAAAACTTCACGAATAGCTTAAAATACCATGTGCCACCACTTTGAGTGAAATTTAAATTTTTTATATGCCAAAAAAATAAAAATAAGCAAAAAAGTAAAAATTTCAAAACTTTACAGAATGGCTTAAAATACCTGTGGCCACCCACTTTGAGCGAAATTTTATTTTTTTAGGTGCCGAAAAAAATAAAAAAAAAATAAAAAAATAAAAAATTTCAAAACTTCACAAAATGGCTTAGAATACCTGTGGCCATCCACTTTAAGTGAAATTTAAATTTTTTTAGATGCCGAAAAAAATAAAAAAATAAAAAATAAAAAAACTTTACATAATTGCTTAGAATACATGTGGCCACCCACTTTGAGTGAAATTTAATTTTTTTTAGGTGTCGAAAAAAAAATAAAAATAAGCAAAAAAGAAAAATTTTCAAAACTTCACAGAGTGGCTTAGAATACATATGGCCATCCACTTTGAGTGAAATTTAATTTTCTTTGGGAACCAAAAAAAATAAATAAAAAATAAAAAATACCATTTGGGCATCTAAAAAAATTAAATTTTACTCAAAGTGGGTGGCTAGAGGTATTGTAAGTCATTTTGTGAAGTTTTGAAATTTTTGATTTTTTATGTTTTTTTTCACCTAAAAAAATTAAAATTTCACTCAAAGTGGATGGCTACATGTATCCTTGGATTTCTTGACTAGTAATTCATATATATTATGTGGTGAATTGATTTGAAATCGGGCCTACGGGTCGTTTTATCAACTGTGGCCTTCGGGTCGGGCCTACGGGTCGTTTTATCAACTGTGGCCTTCGGGTCGGGCCTACGAGTCGTTTTATCAACTGTTGGCCTTCGGGTCGGGCCTTCGGGTCGAAATAATTGTTGGCCTTTGGGTCGTGGCCTTCGGGTCGGTTTAAACATTGTTGGCCTTCGGGTCGTGGCCTTCGGGTCGGAATATCTGTTGGCCTTTGGGTCGTGGCCTTCGGGTCGGTTTAAACATTGTTGGCCTTCGGGTCGTGGCCTTCGGGTCGGAATATCTGTTGGCCTTCGGGTCGGAATAATTGTTTGATTCATGAAATTGGCAAGTGTGTGCCGAGATCATTATTCGTATGTGTGTTCAATAGTTTGCACGTGAACATTGATAACAAATGCCTAACCTGCAGGGCTGTGGTATAAATGATTTGGGCCACGAGCCTAGGTCAATTATTATGATGTTTATGCGGTACTATTTTGCGTGTTTCATTTACCTATCTGGAGCTGCACACTAGCCTAGTTTAGGATTAGGAGTTATTTACTTGCTGAGATTCGTCTCACGGTTGTTGGAAACCGACTTTTCAGATCCCCGGCAGTGAGGATGGTAGAGGCGCCAATCCGTTTTGGGATTCTCCAGTTCATCGAGAAGACTATGTCCATGCATGTCGCACCTTTTTGACCAAGCCCCGCCTTAGTCTAGTATTCCCGGGCCACCATCCTTTTGTTCATTGGCCGTTGCTTAGTTTGTCTTCTAGTTGCTTTTCTTGTAATGGATATTGTATAAATTTCTGCAGTAATGTAAAATGTTTTCATTTCTGCTAATTCCAGTGTTGTGCTATCCTTGGTTGTCTTGTATATTGTACGGGTATATATATATATATATATATATATATATATATATATACGTTGCTTCCGCATGTGCATTGGTCTCTGTGCATTGGATGCTGGGTCGGTGACGCAACCTAGGAGTGTTGCACCACAACTTCGACCTGTACGCGGGATGTTGACGCTTCGTGGGGTACGGGGCGTGACAATCAAGGCCGGGCCTAAACCCCCGGTGCCCGTACCCGATGCTCCGGCACCCAAACTTGGGTCCATAAAGGCCTTGCTGGATCCCTGACACTCGAGCTCTAATCCCAATTTGACCTGTATCAGTTGGTTCAGAACTCGTATTAGGTTTTAATCGTTCCTTAATTTTCTT